AACCCAGAAATAATCCCCAAAACATAGTCAACTGATTTTTGACAAAGGGTACCAGATGATCCAGTGGGAAAAGGAAAACCTCTTTAGCAAATGGTGCTGGAAAAACTGGATATTCACCTGCAGAAAGATGAATCTGAACCCCTACCTCTCATCATTGACAAAAATCAACTCAAAGTGGATGAAAGATCTAAACCTAAGAACTCAAATTATAAAACTACTGGTAGAAAACACGGGAAACTCTGGGAGACAGTGAGGTAGGCAAAGACTTCTTAAGCTAGATCCCCAAAGCACAGGCAATAATCTTCAAAATAGACAGGTGGCATTATATCAGATTAAGAAGTTTCTGCACAGCAAAAGACACAGTAATTAGTAATTAGTGTGAATCAACAACCCTTAGAATGGGGAATATTTTTGTAAACTATGCTTCAGATAAGGAATTGAGAACCAGAATGCACAGGAAACTCAAATGGTTTACCATTCAAATGGTTTACCACTGAAACAAAATGATCAATCCCATTAAAAGACGGGAAAATGAGCTAAGAAAACAACCTCTCAAGACACATAAACAGCTAAAAAGCATATGAAAAAATGCTCAACATCCCTCATCATAAGGAAAATGCAGATCAATATCACAATGAGATACACCCAACCCTACTCAGAATGATTAAGATTAAAAACACACAAAATTTTAAGTGCTGGCAGGACGATGGTGAAAGGGGAACACTCCTACACTGCTGGTGGGAATGTAAATTGGTCCAGCCCCTGTGGAAAACAATACGGAGACTCCTCAAAGACCTACAAATAGAACTACCATATGATCCAACAGTCCCATTCCTGGGTATTTACTCAAAGGGCAGAACACTTAGTTGGAAAAGTACCTGCACATCTATGTTTATTGTGGCATTATTCACAATTGATAAGACATGGAACCAACTCAGAAGTCCACAAACTGAAGAATGAATTGAATAAGTGTGGCACATATGCTCTATGGAATACTACTCAGCCATAAAAAATAATAATAATAAAAATAAATAAGAAAACCAAGATCCTGGCTTTAGATAGAAAGGACAAATGTGGAAGATTTACTTCTGAGTGAAGCAAGGCAGGCTATGAAGGAGAAACATCATATGTCTTCACTTAATATATATTCACTTAATATATATTGGCTGAAATGGAAAGATTAGATGATACAGAAACATGGAAAATGTATATGGATACTGGATACAGTGTGAAAAGAGGGTGGTAGAAGAGGTGAGTCTGAAGAAAGGCATTAAGGAGAAAAATAGAGAGACAAGATATCTATGGGACACAGAAATGGATTATTATCTCTTCACAATAACATGTATAGTATCCCCATCTGGACTGATGTGAAGTGTATTCATGCTGGAAAATTTACTTTACAAGCTAAGTGATGTATAATGATTGAATGTATAAAAGAAATTAAAATAAAATATATTAATAAATAAAAGTGAAAAAAATATTAGAGTGTGTAGGATAGAAGCCACGTCACTTGTCTCTCCCCTCTCTCTTTTCTGCTTCTGATAATAACTGCAGTTACTACCATGTCTCCTATTCCTGCTAGATAATTCTTACTCTGAGGTTTCTACCATGGTTCCATCTTCTATCAGGTGGCCTTGGAATCTAGTAACTTCATCTCTCTCTCTCCAGTCCTCAGGTGGGTGAGACCTTCCTACTACTAATTTCTGGTTTCCTTTGCTCTTCAATTTGGCTTCTCACTTTTTACATCAGCTGTGTCTGCAGTTGCTATAGACTGAACTATATCCCTCTAAAACTCATAGCCTAAAGCCCTAACTCCCACTGTGGCTATATTTGGAGTAAGGAAATAATTAATGTTAAGTAAGGTTATGGAGCCTGACTGATAAAAGAACACACCAGAGAACTTCCCCCACCACATACACACACACACACACACACTACCATGCAAGGACACAGCAAGGAGCTAGTCTGTAAGCCAGAAAGAGGAATTAAATCTACCAACACTTTCATCTTGAACTTCTCAGCCTCTACAATTCTGAGAAAAGAAATTTCTGCTGTTTAAGCCACTCAGCTATATTTTGTTGCAGCAGCTCAATTGACTACACATAAGTTACTTGCATTATATTTTCATTGATCGAAATAACTGGAGGGTTTCTGTTTCTCTGACTGATGGAGTTTTTAATATCATTGATACCATGTAATTTTGTCTTGAGTCCCTTAAAGTGGCCTCCAGTATGTGAAAAACACTTAAATAATTATTTCTTCATCTGTTTCTACCCATAATACTATAAGATATGACAAAATGATATGCCATAAGAAGATAGGTTTTGAGTGACTTAAACAGAATTATGGCTCCTGTAGTTACTATAGTTGAATGATCTAACAAAAGTTAGCTAATCTTTCTAGGCTCTTGTTCAGTCGTTGACATTCTCAACACTTCCCAGTATCAGTGGAAACTACATTTCTCAGGTTCTCATGTTTCCTGGTTTCAAAGTAGATTCAGCCAAAGGGAAGTCTGTGAAATGGTAATAGTAATCTAAAAGAGTTGTCTTTAATTAAATGAGTTACTCTATAGAAAGTGCTTAGAATGTTTTTAGGCATACTATAAACTATAAATAAATTATTATTTTTAGCTGCAATGTATTAAGTGCCAATTATATGTCAAACTATTGTAATAAATATTGGAGATAAAAGAAAGAGAAGAAAGAGTCAATGTTTCATTGAACTCCTATGTGGTTGACCATGGTTCAAGTCCTGGACCCAGCGGTTTAAACTCACACAGGGTGCATGTACATGCGTGCCCCAAATCCCAAGAGGAAAATAGAGACGGAATTGTGGCATGGCCATCCCCCATAGGGGGTGATTTCTCACTTTCTGTTTCTCTGTCTCTCTGGTGAGTGCATATGCCCTATAGCAAAAATCGTTCTCTCTAAACAAAAAAAAAAAAAGAAATGGTCAATGCCTGCAAGGATTTTCAGTATACTGACAGGTAAGCACATGAACAGGTAATTATAATAAAATATGATTTGTTGATATATTATGGGATAGCCAATATTTTTAAAAATCAGTATTTGGGGCACATTTGTCAAGGTTTGATTCTTGATTTTGTCAATTACTAATAGTTTGACTTCGGGTAAGTTACCTAATTTCCCTAAGCCTCATTTTTCTCATCTGCAAAATGGGGATAATAATGGTGCCAATTATGGTTTTTTTGTTTGTTTGTTTGTTTGTTTTTCCTTTAAGAGACTTTTGCTATAAGCCTCTGCACTCGCTGGAGACACAGAGACAGAAAACAAGAAATCACCCCTCAGGGGGCATGGCCATGTCACAATCCCTTCTCCTCTAGTTTCCTTTCTGGATTTTGGGCACTCATGCACATGCACATGCACCTGGCATGAGTTTTAAGTCACTGTGTCTGGGACTTGAACTGCAGTTGACTATGTGGGAGTCCAGCAACATAACCACTACAGCATCTGCTGGTCTCGATGGTGCCAACTTTGCAAGAATGTGGTGAGAAAAGGAGGTCATAAAAGCACTGGTGTAGAAGTTTCTGGTATAATTCCTAGTAGATGACATGTGCTCAGGGAAGAATAATTCTTTTTTTCATTAGTAGAGGAGTAGAAAAGTGGAATAGCTCAGCCCAGGGCCCTGCTAGTTTCTTACTGCTTGGTAGTCTCTCTGATCTACTTGGCAGTAACTGTCTTTCTTACTCTCCCTCCTACTCGGAGAGAAGACTAGATCTATTATACTTTTCTAGTACAAGTATAACATAGTACAATCGCTGTAGAAAATTTCTTGACAGAATCTATTAAAGTTAAATATGTGTGTACAAAGCAGTTCTACTCTTGCATATATAACCAGAAATAAGTAAATTTATTTGCCAAAGAACATGTACAAGAATGTTCATAGCAGCTTTATTCATAGTAGTACGAATCTGAAAGCAAACCCAATGCCTCTCATCAGAAGAGTAAATAATACATGATGATATATTTACATACATTAGAACCCTACATGGCAAGGTGAATAAGCTACAGTGGCACCCAACACTATAGATGAATCTCACAGAGAAAATTTTGAGCAAAAGGAGTCAGAGTACATACTTTATTATTCCATTTAGACAAAGTCCAAGAACAGACAGAATGTATGGTTACAGAAGTCAGAAGAGTGGTTGCTTTCAAGGAAGTATTTACAGAGATGGACAGTAGTGTACTGATGACTTTGTACCAACTAGTTCTAAAAATAAATAAAAATTTAAAAATTGAAGCCTTGGTTTTGTAGCACTTGCCAATTTCCATAGTGTAAATACTTTTATCTTGGTGAATTTCAAGCTACCAATGTGACATCATTAAAGACAGAGTTGAAAAGAGATGCGTATGTGCACAATCTGTTCTAGCAAGTCAGCATGAGCCAACTCCAGCACCCCTCTGGGAGACAGCATATCAGAACACTCTGGCATGCCTGAAATGTTCTATAACTTGACCTGGATAGTGCTTACACAGCTGTGTACATAGTCACAAAGTTATACATTAATAATTAAGGTTGTTAAGGTTGATTCACTTTACTGCATGCATACTATAGTTCAATAAGAAGTACAATTTTAAAATGTTTCTGAGAACTAGAAAGATAAACCAGTTATAGTTATTGTGTGCTGGAGGAAGATTCAGAGAGGTACCAGAGATTCAATGACTGGGAGGTGGGCACTGAAATATTCTTATCCCCACACTAGATCTGTCACAAAAGAAAGATATCATTAGTAGTCACTGACATAGAGTAGAAAATACATGGTGACTTTTTTAGTTGAATCATTTTTAATTATTTCAACTTCAGACTACTTCAATCTCATCAGCATTTAAAGAATGATGTTGAAAAATCCCAGATTCCCTGCCTTAACTCTCTATGGCCCTGTCACTTGGAGATGAAGAGTATTCCACTGGGTGGCTCCCGATGAGCATTTTAAACACAGCACCACTTGAACACAAAGAGTAGACATAAAAAGTCACCAGTGTAAACAATGTTACTTTTATTTTGAGTAAAAATACACATTCATATCATTTTCCTTATGTCCCTCCCACCTTAAATATGTTCACATGTCTAGAAGATACTGTGGTCTAGCTAAAGGAGCTGTTTTAATAAGATGGTTACTCCTGACATATACAGCAGTTATATATTTAGTTACAAAGTCAAAGAAAGATTTTAAAGCATTTTCACTGATGACGTCTTGACATATTTTCAGGATCATTTGTTCCCGATCTGGCAGTACAGGACCATAGAAAATACCAAACCAAGTATCTAGAGAATGAAAAAACAGGATTAACATGGAATTTCAGGGAAAATGCCAGAAACATTATATTAATAAATAAAATAACACTGTACAATATATGAAAAGATTCTGTCTACTGACAAGTCTAGTCTTACTGATCTAAGTCGCTCTCTTTGGAAACTAGACTTCAATGGGACAGAGGAATACTGAGAAAGATCCCTGAGATTTTGGATTTTTAATCATGGTTTTCAGTTGGCCAACCAGCTTCTAACGTGCCCTCTTTGGCAGTGCAATAGCAGCTGCCACCAGGTGATCTCCCCTTTCTTAAACACACACATCTTTCCATAGGGCATCTTCCCTGGAGCTCTTGGAAGCTCAGGAGTCTGGCAGCTAGATATACTTATTACTGCCATAAAAAAGGTTATGATCATCTGGTTTAGATCATCTGCATGAAAATCAAGGAGTCTAGAATTTCTCTTGCCATAGTTTTAGGCATTGCCAAAAAAAATGAAAAAAAAAATGAAGTAACTGTTTTTAAAATGCTTCTAAAACTGTGGGGAATAGCTTAATTCAGGAATTTCTTTTGAAGTGAAGCACAACTGAAAATCTGGGGCATAATTTCTATTTCATTAAGCATCTCTCCCAAGAATGAAGAACCCCAAAAACTTGTTCTAATTAGCTCTGCAGTTGGTGATTTGCATTCTGCAGCTTTGATATAGAAATGACAGAAAGGAACTGTGTGCACCGCACATCTAAAGTTTCATCCCCACTGGCCCTGTTTGAAGGGAAGCAGGCAGAGGGCAAAGTGCCATTTATGCTGAATCATCTCACATACTCCCACTGTGTTGAGACTTCTGCTTACTAATACTGTCCTGGCAGGGGCCAGCAGGTGGCATGGTGGTTAAGGTGCTGGACTCTCCCTCATGGCCAACCATGGTTAGAGTCCTGGACCTGATGCTTTTCTTTCTCTCTCTCTCTCTCTCTCTCTCTCTCTCTGCATGTGTGTGTGTGTGTGTCTCTGGTCAGATTAAAATAAATGAATTAATAAATAATTTTTAAAATACTGTCCTGGAAATGTAATTCAAATGAGAACTACTGCCCAATATCTACTCCTTCTTAAAAATCAAAAATCAAAAAAGACACCAAATCTCTGAAAAAGTAATAATTTTTATTCTGAATGATCTAATATTCAGGGCTAAAATTCAGTCTCTTTCCCTTTCCCTTGATCCAAAGCCTTAAGTCCAGAGGAAAAATACCAGAAATAAAGAAAATGGGCAGAACAATTGGATAAGACAATTGTCATATAAAATTGCCACATTCTTGAAACAGAAGCCCACCATTCATCAGAGACTAGACTTAATGTCATACTTTCTTGCATTTTGCTGTCTCTAAAAAGAACATTCATCAATGTTCATTAAAAATAGCAAATAAAAGATAAATCATATTATAAATGTATGCTAAGACTCATGACAAACTTGCTAAGTAGTATGTACAGTATATAAATATTCTAATGCACACTAAAAACAGTTTAAATGTATCATTTTTCCTTCTCTCTCTCTCTCTCTCTCTTTAATTTTTGCTATAGGTGAGTGTGCTCTTCAGATAGCAACAGAGGCAAGTGGGGAATGAGAAAACCAGGGAATATGCTGCAATCCCTTTTCCTCCATTCTCTCCTGAGATTTGGGGTGCACATATGCCCATCATGCCTTTCAAGCCTCTGATTCCAGGATTCAAACCACGCAGTCGGCCATGTGAGACCCAGCTGCCTAAATCACCACGCCACCAGTCAGCCCATCTTTTTTCTTTCAACTACTCTTTCC